CAGAAACTACAGAGAGCCTAGACAAAAATAAGCCTCAGAGAATTTTTGTGAGCTCATAAATACTACAAAATCAGGAGGGCAATGTAGTGGGAAGCCTGTGGATTTAGAGTCCATGCTGGACAATAAGATCTGCAAGACTGGAAGAAGCCCTGGAGCCTAAAACTTCTGAAACGCTTAAGCCATGTCCAGATGTGCACAAGCATGTGCTTGCACTGGCACAAATAGTAGCTGCTACTTTGTGCTGCAGCACATGCCCCTGCACATTGTCACGGAAAATCTTAAGTGTGTGCTGACAACACAGAAGAGCTGAAACTGACATGCGCGTTTTACTCTGTGAGTGGAAAATTCCAAGGCTCACCCAGGTCATGCCCCCTGGGTGACCTGAGGACCTGTCAGTCATTACTGACCTACTTTCCCCACAGACGCATGCTCAGTGACAGCTAACAGCATGAGGTAATCAGACTAGAAATTTCTTTGCAAAAAGTGTTCTAATTGGCCACCAAATTCTTATAAAAGATCAGAGAGCCCCTCCCTCGGGGGGGATCCGTTCAACTGAGGACAGAGGCTACTTCTTAGGGACTGTCCCTCAGTTAGGTCTCCCCCAGTGTGGGCTCTCGCTGTGTTTCGTACCTCGGTCTTGCTGTGTTGATTCTCTGGTTACTGGACTGTTCTGGCTTGGACTCTGACTTCGCTTTCGGATCACCCTCAATACACTGGCTATGACTTACCTGGTATTCGACCTCGGCTATCATCTCGACCACGATTCTGCGGAACCCCACTGGCTCTCATCGACTACCTAGCTTCTGACCTCAGCTTCGATCTCCGACCATCCATTTGTCCACTTGGACTGGCATCACCTTGTTACAGTTTCATTGTTTGTTTATCCTTACATGAGCTGTTGACCAGCCCTGGGACTTAAGGAGTGGGCAGCCACCCCTATTCCTCGTGGGGTAGATCGCAAGGGCTCACTCCGGAACCCCATGGGCCAACAGACCCCCTTTTGTTGTTCGTTCACACCTTAACTTGTTGTTCCTCGTTACCACTGTAACCGAAGAAGCAACTCTACCTACGCCTTCTAAGTGTAAGTCAAATAAATCACCTTTGTTGAAACCATTACGCTTCCGTGCCTCAGACCTCCACGCCAATAATCCTGCCTGTTCGTGTTCCAATTGCCAACCCCGGCCCACCGGGACCTTGGGGCCAGATTCATTCGGCGATTTTTCCCCGACACACATATGCTTTGGTGAGGGACAAATTGTCCCACTTTGGGCAAGATGGACTTTCTCCACTCCTCCCAGCTACCAGTGTGCTGGAGCAGCCAGAGCTTACGTGAAATAGTAGAGATGCTGAGGCCAGCAGCCAGAGCATCTCCCTGGAGGACCAAACCTCAGTTTGTTCCAGCGAAAACTATTGTAGTGTGCACCACTTTTTTACTTAACGTTTTTTATTTTTTTGCTACTGGGATTCTGGCAGCAGATTTTACCCTGGAGCTGCAAATTTGCAGTGTGGGTATGTTTTAATGTTCTGGGCATGTGGTTTGTGGCACCACAAATTTGTCTGTGGTGTCACAAATCGCACGTGCCTCCATATCTAGACTCAGCCTTAGAAGCTCTGAAAGGCTGTCAGAGTCACCTGGCAGGAAGATGAAAAATGAGAGGAAGAGCAGAGAAGGGCTTTTTTCTGCCTAAATCCACTTCCAAATGGCCTAGTCTAAACCATATAGGCCATATTCAGATGAGCATTGACATTTGGTTCCCCAGGGACAATTAGATTTCATAGATTTCATAGACATTAGGGCTGGAAGGGACCTCGGAAGATCATCGAGTCCAGCCCCCCGCCCAAAGGGCAGGAAGTCAGCTGTGGTCATAGGATCCCAGCAAGATAAGCATCCAAATTATTCTTGAAGGCGTTCAATGTAGGTGCTTGAACCACCTCGAATGGCAGGCTGTTCCAGACCTTGGGGGCTCGGACAGTAAAGAAATTCTTCCTTATGTCCAGCCTGAAATGGTCTTACAGTAGTTTATAACCGTTCGACCTCATCATCCCTTGGGGCGCTCTGGTGAACAAACATTCCCCCAGGTACTGGTGGTCACCCCTGTTAAACTTACAGGCCCCTGTTAAACTTACAGGTGGCCATCAGATCACCCCTGAGCCTGTGCTTTTCCAGGCTAAAGAGCCCCATGGCTCTCAGCCTATCATAAGGTCTGTTTTCCTGACCCCTGATCAGGACACCTTGTGCTACTGCTAGTTGACCCTGGGGAATGCCCATGCCACGTGCCCTCTGGCATGCGGCAGGTTACCCTGGGTGGGGTAGGGGTAGGCTGAGGCCAGCACGGTTGCTGGCCCCAGCAGACTTACCTCAAGTCCTGGGGGCCAGGGGAGCTGCAGCCGTATCGCTCCTGCAGCTTGGAGCCTGGCCAGCCTCTGGAATGTGGCTCCAGTTGGCCAGGTTCCAGTTTTGGGCAGTGCACGCTGTTCCTGTGTGTGCCTTCCCCCTTTTTTTTGGAGATTTTTTTTACCCCTGGGTCTCCAGGAGTAAAAAAAAAAAACCCAAACCCTGAGCTTCAAGGTAGCAGTGAGGGAAACACCTGAATGTGCGGTACATGGTGCCACAGATGGGTCTGCAGTGCCACATACTGCACAACCATGCTCGTCTGGAGGCGGCCATAAAGGCCACTCTAAGGGTGAAGTTATATGTTTCATGTAAACTGTACTAAAGATACATAAAATGCAAGTGTCCACCTTTTAAAGCTCGTTAGTTCATGCTAAGTGCCTTCTGAGTGACTCAGTTATGCCACTTCAGATGAGGGTTAACTCTGGGCCACACTACCCAGTTTATGTTAGGATACAAAATGGCATTAACCCTTAATGTGTGGTTGCTCCCAGCATGCTCTAACTTTACCACTGCTTTAGTATGGTCTAAGTGTAACTTCACCATCAGCATAAGTATCTATATAGAGAGTTAGTACAGAATAACCAGGGTTACTTTGGAGAAGGGGTGGGTCAGTGGGGATGAAGCAGAGCAGAACTGTAATAGAGATAAGAATAGAATCTACAACTTCCTGATGATGTAAGAGGAATAGCTCTTCTTATCTATTTTTTCAAGTGTCATATTTCTATGTACCCTTTAATGTCTACCTTGTGTTGCAGAATGGAAACATCAGAAATTTCCTTCATATATTAACTATGTTTGGATAAGATGAGATCCATCATAAAATGTCTCATGAAATTAAACCCACCTCTGAACATTTTTTAAAAATATATGTAAACTTTACCGTTAATTGTCCCTTCCTTCACCTCAAGAGCTAGCATTCTATTATTCATTTTCAAGTGCTTCTGGTGGTCTATCTGGGCCTGAAATAGAAGTCTCAAAATACAAGAGACTAGAGACAGCTAGCATTCAAAGGTCTCTCAAGAGTACAGGCCTCAGAGGAGTTCTCACACAATTTTGCAGATTCAAGAGAACTGAATAAGTTAATAAGCATCCAAAGTTTTTACATTTTGCAATTTGAACCCAGTGCTTTTGAGCTGCACCTACCATTAATTCATAGTGTGAAATATTTTTTGGCATAACTGAATATTAGGCAGAAAAATCTGATTATTTTTTCCCCGGAAGAGTAGAAGAAAGGGCAATTTTTCAGGCTATTTAGGGACATCAGCAGCTTCTTCATAAGTATGGTGATTCAACAGAGCAACAGGCACATATTCCATTTATATCTCTGGTTTGTCTTTTGCAGAAGTAGCTGAGATGGCATTTCCTGTCAGAGAAGCTTTATTGGAAGTCATAAGCATGAGAAGCATTTAGGCACTTGGACTATTCTGAAAGCAATATTGCACAGTCAGTCAAAGAAGAAAAAACTCGACCCTTCAGTGACCTTAATGCTCATTTCAGTCGATGTAATAAAGTTTGCTACAATTCACCTGCTAAACCTTCAAAAGAGCAACACAGAACAGATTCTCTTAATGTCACATATGCAGTTGGTCTATCTTGTAATTCCCTTTGACACTAAAGACAACAGATTAAACAGTAGGAAATGATACAACAGCAAAATTTCAAACACCTGCTACTACTTTCAGCTGGGTCACTGAACTCTTCCAGGTCAACCATGCATAATTTTGATACACCCAGGGAATCACCCACTTATGTTGCTGATCTTTCCATTTCACTTGCAAAGCTCCCATTTTTCCCATAAAGGGAATAGTTCTCAGGTAACTTTAAAACAGAAATAAATCCACAGCCATGTAGAACTGCTCTGGTGACAGTGACCATGACCTTTAATCTGAGATAGGCTATTAATTACGTGGATGCTCTATTTTGAGCTGCATAGAAGCTGACTTCCAAAGAAACTGATTTGCTAAATCTAAACTCTCTGAAAACAACCAAAATCTGCCTTGGTCATTCAGTGAATAGGCACATAGACACTGATTTATCTATTTCCTGTTTCCTCAAGTAATGATGAAATTGATATTATAATAAATATGAATAGCTGAAGTTAGTAGCTTCTAATGCATATTGCAATAACACCCAAACTTCTGATTTATAATAGTTCCTTAATTTTACTAAGCATTTTACAAACAAGAAGACATATTTCCTGCCTTACATGTAAGAGCTAGTTTAGAGGGCCAAATGTTCTTCTAGAACAATTCCTGCAAACGTAATGGAACTATGCCAGAAGAAATGTTTTTGGCACAACACTAATGAGTGCACTCTCTCATTTTTTATGTTGCACTGTTTTTACTACTGGATTCAAGTGGTTAGATTAACCTATGTATGGGACAACAATCTATTGATTAGCACCTTGCTGCAATTGGATGCAGGTGAAACAAATGAAACTGAATCCAGATAAGACCAGTTGTGGTGGGAAGACTGCTCGACATGGTTAGGGGTTGATGGGATTCAGATTCCCCTTGTCACTCAGGTTCTCAGCCTGAGGGTGCTCTTGGATCCTCTACTGTATCTTGATCTTCAGGTGGCAGCAACGGCTAGGTGCAGCTTTTTACCAATGCCATCTGGTGAGAAGGTCACCACCTTTTCCTTCAGATTCAGATCTGGACAAATTTTCCAAGCCTTCAAAATCTGATACCTAGACTACTACAATATGCTTTACTCAGGGCTGTGCAGATGACTATACTTGCCTTCTGACAGGGATATGTTGCCAGGAGCATATAACTCCAGTGCTGTAGAATCTGTCTTGACTCCAAATAACTTTCCAAGAGAAACTCAAAGTTCTGATTTTGGCCTAGAAGGCTCTGTTTACCAAAGGGACTACCTTCTCTTTTATGCCCCATCACAATCCCTAGAGAGCAACCTCCTTCAAGTACTATCCAAGTGCCAAGTCTGCTTATCAAAACCACATGGGAGATTGTTCTCGAAAGTCACTCTTCTGGTCTGGAACCCCATCCCTCTTAAGGCCCACCAGAGGTGGATGTCTTTTGGAAGCACTGTAACAACTTCCTATTTGAGCAGGTATTTAGCAAACAAAGTTGGCTGGGATATTGTTGTGGGGGAGGGTACGTTGATATTCTATGTTGTTTTTTTAATTTATTTTGTTATATTATTATAAGCAACAGCCTTGGTTGGGAAGGGTGGCATATAAAGCAAATGGGTAAATAAATAATACATTAATAGTGACTTTAAACAGTACGATACTTTGGCAAATGCATTTTTTCCTTAACATCAAGTTACATTCGTGTCTCGCTTTTTAAATGGATATAATGATGTTTGGGTTTCAAACCTTGATAAAGGTAAAGCTTTTAATTTGAAGAGAATTTCAGTAGAGAGCAGGAGAAAAGAAACTAAGACATAATTTCTGCAAGTTATGCAGATCTTTGGTCAAATTAAGGGAGGCTAATTCAATATAATAACCAGAGCAGTGAACTTTTCCTTTGGCCCTCATCTTGCAGGCTTTAGAGCAAACCGTTCTATGCTATCCCACATAGAAAGAGCATAGAGAGTGATTTCCCAATTACTATGCTCAATTAAGAAAATAACTAAGGCTCCAAGCCTGCAAACAGACATGTTATATTAAGCCTAGGCCCACCTAGGGCAAATCCAGTTCCAAACCCCAGCTGGAAGTAATTAGGGAATTAAGTTCCATCATTAGGGCCTATCCATATTGGCCTTTATAAGCTCAGAGAAGATTGTTTTCTCATGCCTCTGGCTTGCTTGGACCACCTAATCTGGTCCTGATCCCTGACTCTTAGATGCCTGACTTGTGTCCTCATAACACATGTGACCTACCCCAACTGGGCATGTCCTGATGCATTACACTGCTTACACTTTTATATTTTAACAGATCCATTTAAGTCAGTAAAACTGGTAACACAAATACATTTAAGCACCAAGGTAAATATTTGAAGAGTTTGGGTTTAAATCAATAAATAAGACTAACAAAGTAGTTTTCTACAGAATTAAAGAAGCAGAGACATTTGTATAGCATGTGCCCAAGAGTAGGAAACAAATGAGGCAGAACTATACTGCAGAACGGTTATATATATATATATATATATATATATATATATATATATATATATGTGGCTGTGCTTTTGAATATGGCTTATTGTTTTCAAATTTAAAAAGCAGAATATGGGCTAAATGTAGCAACGTAAGTGCAGGGAAGTGTATCCTGTGAATCCTGCACAACCAAAGACCACTATAGCAGAAGACAGATTCACGACAGTAGAAAATGGTCACTGAAGCTGAGCTAAGTACTTACGAGTGTAATTTCTTTAGAATTTCTTTTTTTTTTCTTCACAATAAGTTAATTATGCTAAAATACAGGTATTTCTTGCAGGAAGTAATTCTCATCAGTATCCTGAAGTGATTTTAACAAAAAATGGAGAGAAGCAGCTTTCCCTGGGCACTCCAATGTTTATATTTCATCGAGGGACACTGCTTCAATGTGCATTCCTCCCAAGCTGTTTACATTCTGCCCAGTGCAGAACTGAACAACTTTCCTGTTGCAATGCTTTTAAAAATCTCTGCACTCTGCAAAAACTGGTATAATCTAGTCCAGCTGGCCAGATCTGGGCCTCACTGTGAATCCTTTCAGCAGCATAAGTGACACAACTCTTTGGCTACATTTATGCCCCAGTGAATTTTTTCCATTATAGGTAAATCAAACGCATGTTTAAGAGGCTTAATTTAAAAGATTAGCTCTTCTTTTTGGTAGCTTAGACTGTAATCATCATCATAAGCAGCTCTACATCATTTTCCTATAGCACCTGAAGTAATTCTGGGCATTCTGTTCATTGATTGATGGTGCAAATTTCTGTCAGAGGTGGTAGTTAGAAATGATAGGCATGAACCTACATAAATCTACTCAGAATTTATGCATTAAGGATTTTCCATGAAGGGGGGAGGAAGCCTCCAGTACTGTGTTATAGTGCATAGGTTCAAAGGACAAGTGCAGTTTAGGTGTTCTCAAAAAACATGACGTACTGATACCAGTTTTGAAAAAGTCAGGGAACCCCAAATCCAACAGACATACTGCAGAAGGCAGATTTTGTTACTGTACCAGTTGAAATCCATTTAGTGGTGTGACTCAAGAGCATAACCTAAAAGTCTAGGCTTCCACAACACCACGGTGGCTCATCTGTTTCTGACTTGCTTTGAAAATCCATTGTGTGTCAAGGAACTTCCAAAAAATCCAAAAGCAAGCCAAATAAAATACATATTTATTTGAGTATTTCCACAAACAGCAAAATAATCACAAATAAGTATGGATGCTTAAACGCTTTAAAACTAGGAATGTCTTCTTTTTTCCCCTTTTCTAACCTCAGCCCTGCAACTGAACTGTGACCTTTATGCTTACAATGCATTCAACATCTATTCAAAATCAGTGGCCTCCAGAATTTAAAAGTGGAATTGACGGTAAGGGAAACACTCCAATGCGTGTGTGTGCATGTGTATGTTTCTCTCTGTGTTTGTTAAAAGATTTTCAGATGGATTCTGCCAATTGAAACAACTGCTGAAAATTTACTTGGCATTTTACTTACCTTTCAATATTTGCAACCTTGATGAAAATGTTTCATCTCTTAGATTCTTCTGCACTGGGATACAGATCAAGAAAAAATTATGTTCCCTGTTGCATCCAATATTTGGATATGACACCACCTGGATTCTATTTATACAAACACACCTGGTGCTGCCTCTGTTCTTAGTGCCTGATGCAACTTAGCTTTGCCACTAACATGAATCATAATTTCTGGATCGCCTGTGCAGAAAAGCTCATTTACTTCTTTCCCAATGTATTACTCCAGCACACTGTTGGAACTACAGTGTTGAAAGAGATTTAATATTTGGGAATATATATGCAACCAAAATGTAATTCTGTCAGAATTTTCTACCACATTCTGTCTTGTTACTTATACCTTTATTAGCTGTTTGGGTGTTAGGGCCAGTGAAAAATGCTAAGCATATATAGTTTTAGAAGCTAATGCTCTTTATTTACAGAAAAGCTACAATGTGAGCATCTTCAAACACTCTGCTTCATAATATACCTCTCTTGGAAATTACTTAGCAGTCATGGAGCAAGAACATTTTTTTTCTAAAAATGCACCACAGAAAACACTTCAAAACCTTTTTACCTTAATACAAGCTTTTATTTTTGCAATTCCTGTAAATTCTAGCTGCTTATACTACATCAAAAGAAGTATTTTAAATGGGCTTATAGTAGATTCTTCACATGAATGAAATACTTGTTTGAAAGCCAAACACCATAAAAATTGTAAACAACATAGAGTTTACTATAATAAATATCATTAGAAGCAATGTTAATCCATTTACCATCTGGTGATTTATCTCTACCCTTGGTTTCTTTACTATGGGAAACAATTTATGAGCTTTTCCCAGTATTATTTCATTGTCAAGACCATACTCCAATATTTTAGCACTCCAGTTTTGCCTACCAAATACAGAAGCAGTTTTCAATGATAAAGCTATCAAATATTTAATATAAAGTAACAGCAAGAGGAAGAAAAAAATCCTGATTGTTGCTACCTAAATAATACCCATCTCCATGCATTTCCTGAACTTGTTTCTTTTTTCAGAATTGTCTCTTAGCCATCATTTTGTCCAGGTAGGAAACGTATCACCACTACTTTGCTTCCTGTTATCTCTTTCATACAATTATAGAAATGAAAGTCAGCAAAGTGTTAATGGTTCCCCCAAGATCAGTCTACTGAAAGTGCAGGATCTCTTAGTGTCTAGTGATTATCCAATGCCTTTTGAATAATCAAATAGATCAGAGTTTAATCACCTGTTCTAGAAGGTCATTCATGTTGGCAGTAGTGTAAAGATGGTGAATCAAGCAGTACAGCACCCCCAGCACTGATTTAGAGGGGGCATAGTAGCATATCACAGTGCACCCTCACGCCCTCGCTCTTCACAGCTTGGCACTTTGCTCCTCACCCGCTTGTGCACTCTCTCTCTCCAGTTCTGGATAGCATCTCTGTCCAGGCTGCTGAAAATGCTCCTTATGCTTTTGCCTAACAGTTTACAGAAAATATCACTGGCTTTATTTTATCCCTGTATATTTACTTACATTAAATTAACTCCATTTATTATAAGTTAATTTTATGATGGGACACTCACCGTTTGTCCAAATACACAAAAGCAGTAAATATCCCATCTTCATCAAATTTGCAGCTAATGCAAAAACCTAACAGCAACCTCTTACACTCTAATTTCACTTCTTTCAACAAATCAGCATACCTCCTTGTCATCCAGTGCAAGTTTTTTTGGGGGGGGGTGGTTTCCATTTCACTGCAGAACTCACTATTAAGGTTTGCGCTAGAATGCAGTCTGCTGGGCATTAAAAGTTTAAACCTTATATTTTTTGAGCTGTGAGAAATGTAGTGTTGAAAAGACAAACAAGAGAGAGTGCATTTTTTAACTTTCCATGATAAGCTCCCTGCTCTGGAATATGGGAGCACATCAAAATGTCATGTAAATCTGCCACATGCCCAACAAGTAGAAATGGAGCATGAGCAGATGCCATATAAAAGATAAGGCTGTTTTGTTTTTCAGGAGCTCAGACACCTGCTTTGTTTCCCTAAGAAACTGGCAAGAAGATCCTGAATAAACCAATTCTTTCTCACAAATTATGTATTTTTCATACAGTGCTACAAATAATAATAAAAATGTCCATGAGAGAGCCAGATTGCTGAGACCATGTATATCAATTATTTTAATTTCTTTCTTCCTTTTAGTGGCAGAAGGAGCTAAGGTATGGCAGAGACTGGCAAGCAGCTGCGACACATTTCACATTTTGACAGACCCCAAAGACTTCTACCAACTCTGTAATAATGAAATCATGTTATTCATTACTGAGATGCAGCCAACTCTGGGGTAGAGAACAGTGTTGTTTAACACCACAGAAGAATATTGGCAGAAATCAGAATATTGCCAGGTGGAGGTTAACACCTTATCTGTTTGAAAGTACCTGGTGGATTTTGACAGTTAGAATGTAAGTATTCATAAAGCATATTTACCAGGAGACTCAAAAAAAATGTCCTGCTTTTTAAGAGTACAATTGAATATCAGATGGTCACAGGTATTTATAAATCAAAGGAACACAGTTTTCTCTCTCACTAATAGGATGGAATTGTCAGAAACACATCACTGAAGAGGAACATTGAATTTAGACCTGGCTTCAAGTAAAAAAGTAATCACCTACTGAAACAATACATGCAACATTGGTTTAGTTTCCCCTTCCCCCCACAAAACTCTCCTGACCCCATCTGATTTAATCTCCTGAACTTCACAGAACTCCACCCAAAACTGTATTTTTATCACTTTTTTCTTGTTAACGCTAGTAAGAAACCATTTCCTAGCTGAGGCTTTACAGATACTTTTTCAAACTCAAAATTGCCTCTATTATAATTCAGGAATTCAACAAAAAGCCTTTTTTTATTTTTTAAAGGAAAAATAAAAAGGTGTCCTTGACAATCAAGTCATCAGCATCCTATTTTGCATTATAATTAGCCAGGTACAGCATCATAATTAGTAGGAACAGATTAATATGATACTGGTATTTGTTGTTATATGACAGATGTTGCAAGCATTAGCTGGTAAGCTGGTCTCATCAGTCAAAATTGAGTGGAACCAGAGGGAAGATATATTTGACTACAGCCACAAGGATTAATATTTGAATGTAGTCATTCTTCAGAGACAATTTCAGATGGATTGTAACTATTACAGGAAACACAATTAATATTTTCCTATTTTGTGATAGTTTAAGAGCTAAATGTTGCTAATCTGAAAATGACAAATATTAGATAAGCACTGGCATTGCATTGTTCAGCCAAGCAATCCATGTCCTCATGCTGAGTGTGGAGGATGGGAAATGGATTCTAGCTCTCTCTCTTTATCTAAGAAGCATCACTGGTTTTCCTAATCTTTTAGAACAACTGTTAGTCAAAGTTGCTTTTCAAACTCTCCAGTCCTCCTTCTTTTCGTCCGTGTTTAACCTCAACATGCAGACTTTGAATCACTGCAACCAGATTCTCTGTTCGAGGTTGGCTACCTATGACCTCTGGGTCAAATATGCCCTGTGAAGATCTGGTTTGGTGGGAGGGAGTATGGAGGTGAGGGGGGCTGATATCAATTTAGGGAACTGTGTGAAATCGGTGACTTAAAGTGGCTAGGTTCATAGAGCCACTTAAAACTTCTGATCTGTGCCCTTGCTGCTGAATTAGTCATTACCCACTGATGTTCACCATGGCTTTTGGAACCACTCAGTAAGTGGAGGGGGAGCACAGAGCTGGGAGAACAGCAGCAGTGGTGAGGGACTGGCAGCTCACAACAGCAGCCAGGTCATGAGCACCCAACCCACCTCTCTAAAAGGTTGCTGCCCCCTGCTCTATATCATTAATGATCCAATTCAAACTTGATCTCATTTTTAGACTCAACCACATCTTAGCTGAATTCTTTCTCCCAGGCTTCCTGTCCATCCTTTTTATTGTGCACTTATAGCCCAGGTGTACACGAATATGTACTTCCTTCTCCAACTGAAGGGGATTATTAGCTGGCAAGGAATATAAAGATATGTACAGATATATATATATATGTGTGTGCATGTGTATGTATATATATATATATGTGTGTGTGTGTGTGTGTGTGTGTGTATAATTATAAACCTTACTCTTTACAATGGGTCACCACCACTGGAGTTTCAAATAAATGACAGTAAACACAGGTGAGTAACAGCAAGGGGTCCCAGTGGATTCCCCAGGCAGGGTTAAACTACCAATACACGGATATAGAAATACACAACATATAAAACACAATATTACAACATATAAGTCACTCACCTTCAAAATATAAGGAGCTTCAACTTCAGGTTAACTTTAACCTCTTAAGCCCCTTCCCCAAAATCACTCAAGTGGCCCACAGGGGCACTGGCTGCACTCCAGGAACCAGTAGGAGGGGAAATCCTCTGTGCTCTCCAGGTTACACTGTGGCCTTCAGGGACAGGCCCAGAGGGAGAGACTTTACACCCAGGGAGCCTTCTCTCACTTAGGCTTCCCCTGCAGCCTCACCACCCAGGGCAACTTTCCCCCTCTCCTGTGGGAATCCCCTTTCCTGGGTAACTCACAGTTCCAGAGTCCTGGATGGGTGGTCTGCATCTCCTGGCTGGCAAGATAGCGCCCCTGCTGCTGAGACCCAGCTGCCTCTGCTCCTTCTGGCCCACTGGCCAGCATGCGGCCCCATGCACCCTCATGTGCACCCAAGGCTCTGCCTTCTGCTAAAGAGTTGGAGGCCTGGGCTGCCCCGTGCATTGCTGGGGCTCGGTCCACTCCCAGACCTTCTGTGCAGCATCGTCTATACTGAGCTGCTGACCCAGTGTCAGCACCTGTAGACCTGAGCTGCCTCAAGTGGCTTCAGGGTCTCTCACCCTCTGTGCAGCACCTCCTACACCAAGTTTCCTGACTCGTGCCAGGGGTTGGGGACCTGAGCCGCCGGTAGTGGCTCCCAGGGTCCTGCTCTGTGCACCGGCCCGTGCACCATGTCTCTGGCCACATGGTAGGAGCTGCAGACCTGAGCCACCTCATGCAGCTCCCAGGGTCTTGATGCCGCATGCAGTGCTGCGCACCAAAAGCCTGGCCACTGGAGCCATCCACCCCTTCCCGCTGCCAATGGAAGTCTTCAGGGGCTTTTCTGGGCTACTGCTTCACCCTGCTGAGCAGCTCTCCTCAGCTCTTCTAAGCCCTGCTCTTCTCTTCATCCCTCAATGCATCTGCCATGTGCTGGGCACACAGTTCTTTTTATTCTCTTCAGAGGCTCCGCCCCACAAAGTTCTGCCAGAGCGGCTTAGTGCAGTCTCGAATCAAGTCTGAGGCTTTTCTTTTTTTCTCTCTCTCTTTCTCTCTATTGCCCCAGCAGGGGTGAGGCAAAGCCCCTCCCAACAGTTACTTGATTGGTGGATGGGCTCCACCAATCACAAATAAGATTCTCCGAGCCTGAGATGCAACAGGCTGTATGTGTAAGTCCATCACACACTATTAGCTTCAGCCCTTCTCTGTCTGTTTCCTCTGTTAGTAAAAGACTATTCTCCTCTGCAGCTCTTCCTCAGTCCATTTAATTTCACATCTCTTTGCCATGATTTAACTCTGGATATCAGTGAGATGTAATTTGTTTGAAAACACTCTTCCAAAAAAGTGCTAATATATTCTGTTCCATACTCTTTCTCGCTCTCTCTACCTCTTAATTTCAGCAGATCTATCTTCAGATATGTCCTTTCTGAACAGCCATAAGAGCCCAGGTATCAGCCCCCACCAAATCTGTAAAGAACAGTGCTACCATCAACCAAAAAATCCAGTGGTAATTCAAGTCCAGCCACTGGTCTAGATAATGAAACAAACAAACAACAATATCCACATAAAGTAAAAATAGAACAAATGAATGATAAGCAAGAGTTTATTCCCCTATTATAGTATAAAACAGATGTATTTGGACAGCTTCTGCACACAGTGCCATAGGCATCTTAAATTTAAAATGCAACAATTTTATATTTGCCACAGTAAGTAATGTAAGAGCTGCACACTTCAATTATTGTGCATTAGAATTATTCATAAGATTCATATTTAGAGACAGGAACAGTGGATTTAGAAGTAGTCTGCTGCCTTACCACTAAGGATACTCTATAAAGGAAGAGAATAGTTCTCTATAATGGTGTATTTAAGAAATGTCAAGAAGTGCCATGAGCAAAGGTACTTCTTATTAATGAGCATGTGTACATCTAAATAAATAAATAACTGCATGTAAAATACATGGGACAGTGGAAACTGCAGTAGGATCAAATGGTGGCTGTAATTTTTCCCCCTCTTAAATGCAGCAAGAAGCATTATCAGTGTACTTGAATCAATTGTTAATCTCAGGAATCATCCTTTTAAGTAGGCTTAGCTCTAGGATTTGACCTACCAGTGGAAGACAAGTCCAGGTAAAATGTACTAGTCGGGAAAGAACAATTGAATCATGCATTGGTGAAAGCTGATCAAATGGTAGATGAAAAGGTCAAGGGAACTGTTTGCCTAAAAGTTTCAAGAATCAAACTGAAACAAATGGAGTCTTAAGACTAAACTAACTGACAACTTGTATTTATGCTGTCAAGAGGGCTGAAATCCTCTCTGTCCGTGTGTCTCCTATATAGTTGTTTTCCAACACTGGAGATTGTCCTTAAATTCTCTGGTACTTGCTTTTTCCTGTGCATCAGTTTTCTTATTTGTCAATGGAGCTAAGATCTGTCAGAGGGATGTTGTGAGACTGTGACTGCATTGTTCTTCAAGATACTTGGATGAAAAAGCACTGTAGAAAGACAGGATAATGTTCACTTTATCAAATAACAAGTCATGTAATTAATGAGGCATAAAAATTGGTTAAGGAAGCACATAAATGTTTATATTTGATTGACTAGTTAGAATTCCCAGTAGTAGCAAAGTGACTTTTATCAATCCTGTGTATCTGGATTATATACCACTAAAGTCTGAGTGGGCTATATCCTCAAAAGACACGGCCTGACTTTAGACAGAATTTTCCTTACACTGACGTAAGTGAAGTTAATGTTGTGAGTGCCATTTCAGAGTTAATTATTTTTAAATAGCTAACATTTGTATTTTGCTGTTCAAAGTCATCATCAGAATTAAACCCATATACTCTATTGCCTGGAGATAATCACCATTTTCTGTGTCCTTCAACTGTGTTATTCAACAAATCAGTTGTTTTCCAAGCTGTACCTAAGTTCACACTCATTTTATTGGGCAAGATATTCAGAGACGACTAGTGGTTCTGCTTACCTCCACTGTTGGATAACTAACTTGAGTTGCTTGATTTGCAAAATTAGTCCTCATCAGGATGTCTTAAATGGGCACCCCAAAATGGAGGTACTCAAATATCACAAATCAGTTCTGAGAGTTCCATGAATATATAATGCATTACCGAGTAACTTTTAACATTGCTCAATAACTAAGAGACAGC